CTACAAGATGTCGGTTTTTTCTTTTCGCTACACCATTCTGTTGTGGCGTGTTGGCACAAGTGTATTGATGACGTATTCGACATTCCCTTAGATATTGAGAGAACTCGTTTGATCTATATTCTCCTCCATTGTCTGTGCGCGAGCAACATATCTTCTTTCCTACTTCTCTTTCAGCTGAGTCTCTGAACTCTTTAAACTTTGAGAATGTGTCAGAATTTTCTTTCATAAAGAAAACCCATACATACCTGGAGAAGTCATCAATGAATGTTACCATGTACCACATACCGCTAATTGACCGTTGCTTAACTGGTCCGAACACATCAGAGTGAACCAACTCCAACGGTTCTTTTCCTTTAAACTTTGACTCGTCATATGGTAATTGGTGTGCTTTACCATAATGGCATCCCACACATACCATGTCTATTCTCACGTCTAGTTGAGGAAGCCCCTTAATGATCGACTTCTTCACCATCACACTTAGCTTGGAATAACTAACGTGACCTAACTGCATGTGCTATAGATCTGATGTCTCATTTTTTCTTGTCCTCTCTACATATGCAGACTCTGCTGACATCACGTAAATTGACTCCAAACGTCGTCCCTCCATTATTGGTGTTTCTGAGATTTTAACGTCATGATAAACCTTCACGCCTTGGGGACCAAATAAGACATAATGGCCTGATGATGTTAGTTGAGCCACAGATAGCAAATTTTTCTTCATTCCTGGGACATGATAAACATCTTGAAGTTGCACCTGGTTAGAATTATATCGAGGCGTAACTATCGTCTTACCGATGTGAGTTATCGGTATCCTTGAATTATCAACTGTCACCACCACACGACCTCCATTATACTCAGATAGGTTTTGCAACTTCTGTTTGTCACCCGTCATATGATTTGAGCAGCCCGAATCTACAATCCAATCATTCTTGTAGTCTATCCGTTCTGGTGTTGTTACCGTGAGAGCTAATTCTTCTTCCTCCGTAGCAAATAACGCTTCAACGTCCCAACCATCTTCACTATTCTCCTTCGAACTGGAAGTACCAATATTACTTTCAACATGCTTTTTCTTGGTCCAACAGTCTTTTGCCATGTGGCTCATCTTCCCGCAATTGTAACACTTGCCATCGAACTTTCTACTATTACCGCGATTCTTGGAAGACCCCCCTGAATGAGGGCCTCCATTTCCTTGGTATTTTTTCACCTTGTCACCATCCCTTTTAGATCCACTGCGAGTATACCGCTGAAAAGTGCCTCTACTTTTGCTAGTGTAGAGCGCTTCCTCTTCACCCTTCAGCGAGACTCCTCCCATTTGCTTGGCCATGGCTTCTTGACCTGCAAGCAAATTTTCAAACTCAACAAGCGATGGTTGTGTCGGACATCCTGTACAGCGGTAACAAACCCTCGATATTCAGGTCTCAAACCATGGACAATTATTCTTTTTATCCTGGCTTCCCCAATAGCAGCTGTCGGATTTAATTCTTAAATTTTGCGGCATATCGACTTTACCTTGTGAAAGTATTAGGCAATCGCCATGCCGCGTTGCACCATTGTTAGAAGTTTATTCTCGAGGAGTTGCAATTTTGTATCGTTCCTCTTTGAAAAGAGTGTAACAAAAGTGTCCCATGTTTCCTTTGGTGTTTTAGCATCCCGGATGTGATCCAACATTTCTTCTTCAATTGTAGTCTTTAAAGCAAACATTGCTTTGCCTGCTTTAATTTTCCACTTTCGCAAGATGTCATTGGCATCTTCTACCACCGGTTGTGTAACTTCACCACCACCGACAACCTCTCAAAGGTCTTGACCTTGTAAGTATGACTCCATACATGTTGCCCACGTATTGTAGTTTTTGTTGTTGAGCTTCTTGATTCCTCCAACTACTTGAAGATCACCCATCTTAAAGGCAAGGCTTTGATTATATCGAACAAGCTTGAGTAACAAACGTGCAGAGTACTAAATTACTCTAAACACAAAGAAGCTCCACAAGGTTTGTAATAACCCCGACAATAATCTTAAGAAATCTTTTCTGATGTGGAAGATCAGTTAAAAGCTGCAGCCACAGAGCATACTTGGAATTTCAAGAGACCTTAAAAACGTGGCTCGGATACCAATTGTTGAATAAAAATAGAGTCAAAACTCTAATTGATCGAGAAGAAGAAAAACTCTCTTTAGAATAATCTCACAAAATTGCAAAAGGGAAGAACTCTTAAGAAAGCTTTCAAATGCTTATAATTAAGCTTTGATTGTTGGATGATAAAACTCAAATACAAGTAGGATATTTATAGGTTACAAGAAATAATCTAAACCACTCATTAAAATAATCACTAAATAATCTAAATCATTTAAATTAAAACATGAGAAAAATACTTAATTTTCACCTAACTAAATTGATGTAAGCAATGACATCAAAACTAAATTGATGTAAGCAATGACATCAAAACTAAATTAATGTAAGCAATGACATCAAATTAATTTAGGTGTGAACTTATTTAGGTTAATATTGAATTTTCAACACAATAGCTCATAGCTTTGGATTCGTAGAAGTAGATAATCTCGGGAAATATCTCGGGGTGCCCTTACTCCATAATAGGGTGACCAAGGTTACGTGTAGATACCTTGTTGAAAAAGTTGAGCAAAGGCTTTCTGGGTGAGCGGCAAAAGTTTTATCCTTTGCTGGTCATATAACGTTGGCTAAGGCAGTATTGCAGGCGATTCCAAGTTATACCATGCAATCGACTTGGTTGCCTAAAGGAGTGTGAGAAACTTTGGAGAAAATTATCCGCAGATTTGTTTGGAGTAATAAAAAAAGGTTCTAACAGCCTCGCTTTGGTTAAGTGGGACATAGTTATCCGATTGAAAAAGGAGGATTGGGACTTAAAGGATCTTGATCGGCAAAATAATGTTTTCCTCATGAAAACAGGAATGCATTTAGTTGAAGGGGCGGATAAATTGTGGGTCTGTGTCCTTAAGTGCAAATGTCAGTGGAATGTCGATGTTCCTGTTAATATTGATAAGCTAAATTGCTCTAGACTGTGGAAAGGCCTGAGTTGTGTGTAGGAAGATATAAGAAATAGTGTGATTTGGAGCATTATAGATGGCCAACGGACAGATTTCTGGTATGACACTTGGCTTGACGATTTCAGACCGCTATTTTCGTATTGCTCAAATGATACAAAACTTGAGCCACTAAAGGTTAGTGAAATGGTTACAACTAATGGCGAATGGGATTGGAGGAGACTAAACGCTATTGTTCCTGAACCTATTCTTCATCGAATTGCAGTAACGATCCTTCCGAAACCTTACCTTGGACATGACAGACCAGGATGGCGATGGAATGAGAATCGCATCTTCACGGTTAAATCAGAATACAACAATATCTCATTGCCTGTCCAAGATGATATTCCAGGTATGTGGAAGAACGTATGGAAACTCCAAATTTCGCAAAGAATTAAGATGTTTTTCTGGCTTGCTCTTCATGGCAAACTGTTAACCAATGGAGAACGATTCTATCGCCATTAGATACCACGGCTTCCTATCCTCTTTGTCAAAGTGAAGTTGAAGACATGGAGCATGTTCTTCGCAAGTGTCCTGCTGCTTTTGATACCTGGAGAAGAGTGATTAAAGACGAATTGCTTAGCATCTTTATGAGTCTGCCGAATGATGCTTGGTTGCTAGCTAATGTGAAGGGCGATGCTGCGTTTCCAAAGAATAAAATCCATTGGAAAGTCCTTTTTCCTGTTATTTGCTGGAAAATATGGAAGCACCGGTGTAATTTTGTTTTTCAATAGAATTGGGTTGATAGAGAAGACATTTAGGCTTAGACCTTGAGACTCAAAGATGAAATTGTTAACAATGCAGGTTCGGAATCACAGAATAGCTTGCTAAGGCATCCAAGTTCATGATGGGAGAACCCTGCTACAAATTTCGTGAAGTTTAATACTGATGGAGCGGTGGGTAGTCCGCAAAATATGGCTGCAGTGGGTGGTGTTTTGGGAGATTCCTCTGGTCGGTGGATATTCGGATTCTGTCGGAGAATTGGTATATGCGCAGTCTTGTACGCGGACCTTTGGGCAATAAATGATGCTTTGATCCATTCTTGGAATTTAGGATTCCGGAATTTAGAAATTGAAATTGATTGTGCCGTGGCTCTGAAGATGCTTTTGATGCCAATCGGACGTGAGGATCGGAACACTATCGCTGTCTTAATTCGAGAGATGCTGGACTAGAATTGGGAGGTTAAGTTACGGCATATTGGCCGTAAAGCCAACAAGATGGCGGATAAGCTGGCCACGAGCATCAGAGGCGACCCAATAGGTGCCATGATTTATACGAGTCCTCCTAGGGTGGTAGCTTATCTAGTGGATTTGGACATGAAATCCACAGAGTAAACTTGCTGTTTCTATCTCTGTATTACCAAAATAATAATAATAATAATGAAATACATTTTGATTATTGTATGAGTTATTATATTGGTATTGTGAAAATTTTTAATGATTTAATTTTTATTTTATTTAAATAAAAAATATTTGACTAAAAAAACAATTATTCAAATGAAATTAAAAAATATAGACTAGTGTGATAAAAGGCATTAAACTATAAATTCCCCACCTTACGCCTTCTTTACTCTATTATTTTCTTACAGTTCTACTATAAATTATGAGTGTGATTTTGCAGTTTAAAACTAATTTTCTTTTTGTTCTTTCGACGCTCTTCAACTTGTTCTAGTTTGCGTGCTGAGAAAAAGCAGTTTTGTGAGAAGTTAGCGTCTCTCTCGCTCGCTCATTCTTCCAAAAAAAACACCCCTCTTTGATTTTGTTTCCTGTAATAACCAAAACACCTCTCCGTTCTGACATAAAAACCAAAGTTATTGACAGAAATCTGCATGTTTTCAACTTATGTTGGCTTAATCGGTGCAAATTGGAGCACAGAGGGGAGCTGGAGAGAAGTAAAATCGTGGAATCGGTTGTTTCTTACATGTTATCTTTTATGTTGATGTTAGCATGAGCACTGCTGTTAGTCTAGAAATGGAGAATTATCAAGGTGATTTAAACGACATAGTTCAAGCCTCTGCTGCTCAACAATCAGATACGGTTCCATGGAAGCAATTCACCCCCGATCCTCTGAGTTTTTCATCGTCGGCGGCAGCCATGGAATATCATAGAGTAAACGATTTCGGAGACCCTTTCTCCACCATGAGAGATCCAGTTCTTCTTCACGAGCTTAACGGTTCGGGTTCCAGCTATTTTAGCAGCCCTAGTTCCACCAACGATCATCATATGATTAATATCGAAGACACTTCAAGCTTTTCTACCGGTGGTCTTGATGAAACCACGAGTCCTTGTAACAGTTTTTCTCGGGTTCACGTCTTCCATGGTCATAGCTCCAGTCCACAACCCGTGCCACCGCCGCCGCCGCCGAGTTATCCACCGGTGATGGGTGCTGCCGTTGTTTCCCCCAGAGGACATAAGGCGCCTGCTGTGCTCCCAAGCGACATGCTTAATGTAAACCCCTCAATCCCGGTGCAGATCTCATCTCTGCGGAATCCCGGTATCAAGAGAAAGTTAGGGTAATATTTAATTATCTAATTAACCAAACAAACCATTACTATTACATATATAATAATCGGAAGGAAAAAGAATTTTATAAGATCGTATTCGAATTGATGTCAACTTGATGTTATGAATTAGGGTTTATAGATTGTTATCAGGAAGTAATTAGCTTTAATGTGTGTCTGTATCTTTAAGGGGCCGGAAAGAAGTATGGATTTAATGTCTGATAACCCTGCATTAAAGTGTACAACTCAAGCAAATAGACAACAACCTTGCCTTAGGAAGATTGTTTTTGTTGTTTACATGCAGAAAGTGTCAGGCCAAGAAGGTGGTGTGTATACCAGCACCGGCAGCTGCAATCAGCCGGTCTAGTGGAGAAGTGGTTCCCTCTGACCTGTGGGCGTGGAGAAAATATGGCCAGAAACCTATCAAAGGCTCCCCTTATCCAAGGTACTGTACATTATGCGTTTATGTATGCTTTACTGCTACATAGTTTATGTCATCATGTTAAGATCATATCATCATCATCACCAAATCCAACATGCTTATATGAGTGACCCAAAACTCGAACCCTGATTTATGATGTTAATGAAGTAGTGTAACTTTTCCCTTCAATTTGCGAATTCATTGGCAATTGATTCATGTAATATTATCTGTACTCAAGGGGCTACTACAGATGCAGCAGTTCCAAAGGCTGTTCAGCCAGGAAACAAGTGGAACGAAGCCGAACCGATCCGAACATGCTCGTGATCAGCTACACGTCCGAGCACAATCATCCATGGCCAACTCAAAGAAATGCACTTGCAGGTTCAACAAGGTCTCAGCCATCAAAAGCCAATGCTACTAGTAGTGGTTCCAAGGTTGCTTCACCCAGTAATTCTCAACCCCAAAACACAGCCAAAGAGACCAGCAGCAACAATGACAAAAAGAGCACATCAGTTAAAGAAGAAATACCTGAATTACCAAAATCACAGCAGCAAACTGAGGATCTTTTTGCAGATTTGGATGAACTAGAACTAGATACGGACCCTTTTAACCTGTTGTTTGGTGGTGACAACGAAGATGAAATGCAAAACGAAAACCATCCCATTGACCCATTCGGCCTGTTTGATTACAACAACAACGCTTCGTTTTGAATGAAGCCAAAAAGTGGGTTTTGAAAGTTGCATGCGGTGGTGGTGGGGGATGATTTATTTATGATATGTTGTTATTTACCAGAATATACAGTGTCGGGAAGATTAATATAAAGAAAGGGAGGCTGCTGAACTGGGAGCAAACTCAGTGAGTCCCCACAGTTAATTTTATTTTTCCTTTGTGAGTATTGGTGTGGATGATGGGACACAAAGCCTGAGAACAGAAGGCTTCAACAGTTGACAGGAGTACGTCCCATTGACATGGTGATAACTCAGTGAGCACTGACGAATTTTTCTTATTTACTGCGTTAACGTAAATATAATAAAAAATTTATCTAACATTACTCATATACAATTATTCAATTTAAAAATCCAATAACTAAGACTAATATAATTACATGTTCTGAAAGAGCTTTAAGTTTTATGAAGAAAAAAATATATAGTTAAAAATATAAAATTTTCATTGATTAAGATAAATTTTTTTTATATAAAATCAAACCCATCTATGATTGAGGTAAAAGAAATATCGAATAACTTTAATTGAATAAAATAATTTTTATTATAATCTTACTAAAAAATAATTAATAACACCACAAATTCATAAGTAATTAAAGACAAAATAAAAATAGAGTGAAAATTAAAAAAATAATAATAAAAACCTGCATAAGAACATCAAATTTCAGTTAAGATATTTGATTACCTCCATGTTTTAAAAAAATAAATTTAAAAAACACATAATGAATATAAATAAATAAGAAAAAGAGAACATCATATTATATAATTTATAAAAAAATAACTCTTAATTTAAGATTTTAAAAAAATAAAATTGTATCTAAATTTTAAATTAAATAGGACTCTAATTAGTTTAATTTTGATTAAGTATAATTAAAATTAAAATTAAAATTATAAAAATTATAAAAATATTATTTTTTCTCTGAGAATGGGGTGGGCCATGGCCGGGCCTATCTCAGCCTCTGTCAGTGAGAGAAGGGGATGGGACTTACCTTTTATTTCACTTTTCCTTCTTGTTTTCGCTACGAAGCGGAACAAATTATTTGGGAGGTTACGGCGGTTAAAATACGGTTAAAAAATAATGTGATTGGTTAAATAGATGATCAATTAAAAGTGTTATAAAAATGTTATATGTTTTAATCGAAAATATTATTTGTGTTGGTAATAATAATGGTAATAACCGTGAATGTTATCGTTGTATGTAAAATGCGTCAAAAAATATCGACTTTAACATAATCGATTAATTATTAAAAATATTATCAACCATAATAACATATAGGTAGCTCTTATGTACCGTAATAAGTAGCGCATTTTTAAAACTGATGGGACTTTAGAAATTCGACGATAACAAAATAGGTTAATTACTTGATTGTTATTAATATTATCAACATATTATGAGAGCCTAAAATGTTACCAAAGTTTAAGCTGATGGAGCCTTAGAAATCCGACGATAACAAAATAAATTAATTACTTGGAACATTATCAACCATAATAACATAACAAGTAGTGTTTATTTAATGTAATAGGTAGCGTCTGTTTAAGTCTGATGAGGCCTTAGATATCCAACTATAACAAAATAGGTTAATTACTTGATTTGTTATCAGTATTATTAACATATTATGTAGCGCCTAAAATCTTACAAAAGTTTAAGTTGATGGAGCCTTAAAAATATGACGATAACAAAATAGGTTAATTACTGGACACATTATCAACCATAATAACATAACAAATAGCGCTTATTTAATGTAATAGGTAGCGACTGTTTAAAGCTGATGGGGCCTTAGAAATCCGACGATAAAAATATATATATTAATTACTTGATTTATTATCAGTATTATCAACATATTACGTGTACATTGTTAATTTATGTATTACTTTAAAGTAATAGGTTTCGAAATTATAAAAATCGATACTTATATGACAATATTGATACTTGTACATTTACGCCTATTTTTATTATACTGGTAGAAAAGTTTACCATGTACAATGTTAATTTATCTATTACTTTAAAGAATAGGTTTCGAAATTCTACGTATCGATACTTTATACATGTGTATTGATATTTGATGTTTACGCCTATTATCATTATATCGATTGACTTTTACCATTTTCATTGTAAATTAACCTATTACTTTAAAGTAATAGGTTCCGAAATTATAAGTATCGAAAATTTTAATACGTGTATCGATACATTTTGAGTGCAAATTATTTAAGAAGCATACTGAAAAAAGTATCGATACCTATATTAAACGCATCGACACTTTATGTTTACAATTATTACCATTAAACCGGTAGATTTTTACCGTTTACATCAAAATGTCAAATTTAATATTATATAATTACTTTGCAAACAATCATAAACGGTTTTTTTACCTCTGTCAACTCAGACATCAAAATGTCAAATTTACCTGCACTCCCCTGACCACAATCCCCCTACTACCTTCTCTTGTACCTTTTCTTCTACCTTCTCTTCTTCTCCCCGCTTCGTCCTTGCCAATAACATTCCAAATTAACTTACAACACATTCCAAATTAACTTACAACATTAATACATTTTTATAATCTTAATATTATATAATTACTTTTATTACCTTTTCTTGTTTGCTCGGTCTTCCCAACTTCAATTTTGCCATAACTCGAACCACTTCTTCCTTTCCCCCACGCACGGATGCGTGCCACTCCGGTTCTTTGGAATGTCTGCACACTTACACAATCAAATCATAAATCAAACAATACAACCTGTATTTATAATGAAATATAACATTTTCTATGATAACTATACTTACAAGTTTTATAACCCAACACATCATTCAACTCATTTACCTCTAAAATTGATATGCACCCTTTGAGGTGTCTACCTTTGGCCCTTCTGAAAGCTAATTATTGATTCAATCAATTTGTAATGGACATATTCAGCCCAATTCAATTCACCTTTCAACCCTTCGTCACAAATCAACTTGATATTGTCCTTGCTCGGGGATGTATCACCTGTTGGACAAAGAAAGATTCCAACAAGGTACAATAGTACTCGGGCCTTCAGGTTATCCCCGTCATAAGCTTCGCTTTTAATTTCCTCTTCAAGTCCAACATATGTCACATTGGGCTTTAATTCATGTTTCTTGGCAAGTGCTTTCCAGTTCTTCGTCTTAATGACTTCTTCAACACTATTGTCTTTATCTTCTAACCCCAATACAGCTACAACACATGGGACCCTCAGAGGAAATAAATAATCACCATATTGAACTCTACATTTTTCTACATCATATTCCTCCATCAATGATCGACACAATTCCCTCATAATTGGTCGATCCCTCACTCTTATCAAAGATCCAAACCCCATTTCTTCCAACACATGAACTTTTATTATTCTCCTTCAAGTGTTCAATTATAGAGTTCAGTCTTTTGATGCTACACATTGTCGACACTTCCTATATTTTTTAAAAATATATAATGTTAGTGTTTTTATATATCGTTTATCACAATATTTACAAGTTTAATGAATATCTTCTTTTCATGTGTTTTTCTCCAAGCTTTATATTGTTGTCTATCCTTTTTTGACAATGTCACATACGGTTCCTTCTCAGCATCATTCATCGACTTCCATTTCTCCAACACCTCATGTTTCACCTGAAATTAAGCATAAACGTTTCTTAATCAATAAATTAATGCTAAAAAATACTTAATGTCAAATTCAGTTTATATACTGAACCAATTATAATTACCAACTTCGTTCATCCTTTGGCATTCAGTTATACTATCAAGATTTGAAATTTGTAATCAATTTAAAGTTCTTAAATACTTTAATCTAATTATCATTTCAACAACAATTACACAAATACATTGATACTTACTAGAAGTACATATATCCACCCTGTGGTTACTTTCGATTTTCTTCATTGTTGATACTCTCAAGCTCCATTTCAATGTCATCTTCGCGAACAACAATTGCAAGATACATTGACTTCATTTTTCCTTCATATATCAGTTTATGAACATTCAAGCATCAAATAAAATCAAATACAAGTTACATACAATTTATTCATATAGAAGTATTGATAACTAATCCTATAGTAACCGGGTTTCCTTCAAAGGAATGGGAATACTCTCTACTACAAGTAACGATACCTTTATGCAACCTACAATATCAATTTATACCTATAATATTATATAAAAGTATATATATTTATTTTCTACCTAGAATATCACTTTCTACTTGTAATCGGTCCCGAATCATTCTTTACTTCGAAAACCCCAAACCTATAAACCTAACCCCTATTTTTGAATACTACAATAAAAAAACTAGGGTTTCGACAACATACCTTTCGATTCAATTGCAACAACAAACAACTACACTTTCAAAAACACCTTGCTTATATTTCGCAGCAACTAATATGCTTCGATTTCAAAATCTACGACCGTCTTCTATCTATTTCTCTGTTAGTAATGCCTTTGATATTCTAACCGGTTATGTTATTATATTTAATCAATACCATTACCCAAGTGTCAATACTTTTGTGTAAGGTATCAATACTTTCGAGATAATTTTATTTTTTCATTTCTTTTCAATTCCTAAAGTATTGATACTATGATACATATACTTATAAAAGTATCGATACCGTCAACATATCTGGTAGTGCTTTACTGATTTTTTCATATTGAAACTGGTTATATTGTCATGTATCAATACATATTTCTAAGGTATCGATACTTTATAGGCACTATTATTGCAATTCTTTTAAATTCCTAAAGTACCAATACTTTGGTGCATATACTTGTAAAAGTATCAATACAAATGTCAACCATTGCGGTATCTCCTTATCGATTTTGTCAAACTGAAACCGATTTTGTCAAAGTTCAACCTGTGATATTGTCATGTATCAATACATGTGTGTAAGGTATCGATACTTTCGAGACATTTCCTTTTTTCATTTCTTTTAAATTTCTATAGTACCGATAGTTTGGTACATATACTTATAAACGTATCGATACAAA